ATGTCGTTTGCAAGCTGTGTGTTGTAGTAAAATTTAATGCAAAGTCAGAAGGGAATCTGTAAAGGGGACCTGAGCAGAATCCCCAATGAAGGGGAACGAGGTATATGGGCCCGTGGGTTTGGAGCTAGGTCTCTCCTTCCAGCCCTGGTTGGGTCCCTGACACTTTGAAAAGGGTGCTGTCCATTTTGGTCCCTCCTTCCCTGCCCTGGAGCTTTCTCTCCCTTTCTTGGCCTGAGCTCCTCCCCTTTCTGCACCCTCTCCCCTCAATGAGCTGTAGGCTTCCCCACAAGCCAGGGCCAGAGAAGGAGCTGCCAGTGTGCTTCCACAGTGCCCCAGCCCAGCGTCCATGCACCTGGCTATGGCCTGGTACCTGGGAGCCAGGCAGCTGAGTCAGCTTGGCTCTGGCTTGGAGCTTGAGGAAACCCTTGATTGAACTTTGGGGGATTGCTGAAGAGCCTCAGGTCCTCTTTCTGAGTGGTCTTGAACAATAATCACTCTCACTTTAAGCATTTAATAAGTGCAAGTGTGCACGTGATAGCTGAGAAGGAGCTGAAGACATAGACCCTGCCCCTGAGAAGTGGGGGATCCCAAACCGAAGATGCTGATATGGACAGACAGACCACTGCACTGAGTAGAGCAGACAAGGACCGAAGAGAAAGCAGTGGATAAATGTGTCACCCTGTAGAGAATCAGATGGGTGAAATGTCCACTATGGTCATGTGAGGGATTTGCAAGGATAGAGAGGGAGACTGCTCACGGCCTGTGCTTTCTCCCCTCTCATTCTGAGGGAAGGCTGGCTGGAGCGGGGAGGGAAGGAGAGGAAGGAAGGAAGATGGACCTGGGGGCTGGGGGGAGCATTTGGCCAGTGCAGGGCTCCTGGTGGGAAGGGGCCGGTCAGGCAGCTGGCTCAGCTCTGAATCCTGACAAGTAATGGGGGAGTCGAGTTCAGCCCCGACTTCTCTGGTATCTGGGGCGGGGAATTGATTTACACAGAATGAAAGAGTCCACGGAGAGCTCTGGACAGCTTATGTGGGCAAGGGGGAGAGGATGAGGTCACACTTTCATGGTAGGTCAGCTGAGGAGCAATGACAGTATCCATGGAAGGATGGAGATGTGGATAGAAAGGCGGATGAGGTGGGGGTTCCAGCGGGAAGGCTGTGCCAGGGCATGCATATCTCTAGAACTCTCTCTATTTTTGCTTCTGAGAATCTTTCCATTCATCGTTTGAGCTTCCAGGAAGAGGTCTCTCCAGCCTTAGCTGCCGGGCTAGGTCTTGCAGTCCAGCCACGATGAGGGTTCTGTCTTCCTTTTCCTATTCTTTCTTACCAGGGTCCTCAGGAAAAGTGCCTGGTAAAAGGCACATTTGGGCATTTGTACATCCCCCAGCCAAAAACATGGGCCCAGGAGGGTTCCAAGTCTATGGTTTCATATGAAAATATGAAAAAGATCAATATGGGGTTCCTACCCTCTACCCCTTCTCCTAGAGTGGACAACACATATACCCAAGGGTCCGCCATGGAGTGATGAAGTTATCTCAGCCCTGGGATCTAGGCAGATGATCTTATGGCCTTCATGTCTGGGCTGTTTCTCCCAGAGGGCTGGGAACTGGCTCTCATAGGCTCCGCAGCTTTGGATTAAGATGTTCTAAATCCACCTATTGTGGACCCTAAGCTGGATTCCCAAGGGACTGGTGCTTGGCAGCTCGCCAATACTACCCAGAATGAATTGGTACTGGCACTGAAAGCAAGCCTCGAGATGGAGTTTGGTAAGCCATGGTGCCTGTGGTGTGGCTCTGGCTGAGTGTGACCTCCCCTTCCTGGTGACGGGCAAGAAGACAACTCTCTCCCAGCTTTGAGCACTTAAGGTAGGAGACTTATCTCTAGAGATGGTGCACCTGCAGATTCCAGGGCCTGCTCACAGAGTTGATGATTTGATATGTCTAGGGTACGGCCTAGGAATCTGTGCTTTGTAGAAGCTGTCCTTGGTGATTCTGACCTACAGCCAGATATGGGAAACTCTGGCTCAAGGCCACCTCTTCTTCTAAAAGCAAACAATAACTGACTTTTGAATGATAATTTTTGATTGTTGGACTTTGGCCAAATTTGGCCCATCGTTATGAATTATTTAATAATAATAATAATTATTATTATTTCCCAAGGCTGGGGGAGACCTCTCTGTGGAAGCTGTAACAATGAATGAGAAGACTCTTAGACGCAAGAATAAAGAGTGTGGCAGAGATGCGTGGGTGGTGGGACAGCCTCCAGGCTCCCATCCCTGCCTCGCCTGACTTTCCACCAACATCAGCATCCTTCCACACATCTGACTCTTCAGGGTCACTAGCTCAGGCTCTCCTGAGTTCAGATACTGAGGGGAAACTGGGGAATGCCTTGCTCCTCCCCTGCCTGTGCTTAGTTGTACACAGTAAGACATGTTACCTGTGGTGCACGTAGGATCTCAGGCTAGGGACTCCCTAAGAAGACCCAGCTCCGGAACTGACTACTTAAAGTCCCCAGAGTGGCCTCAAGGGGAAACCCTGGACCTAGCACACTAGGAAGTAGGAAGGTGGGGAGCAGCTTGGGGAAGGTGAAGGGTCTCAGGTTTGGGGTGAATTAGGGTATTTTCGGCAGGATAACTGACTTCCCCCGGGATGAAGTTACCCTGTGGGAAAGCCTGTAAATAGCCCACTCGCTGACCTCAGGTCAGGTGTTGGTCACTTACCTTTCCCACTCGCCTTACTGGGGTCTGATTGGGGCCAAGGCTGCAGGGTGAGGTCCCCTGGATTCCCCTCTTCGTAGTCCAGCAGCTCAGCCTTCCAAGGTCAGATCCTGTCCTGGTTTTGTCCATAAGAGTGCTCATTCCTCCTGTCAATCACTGGCACTGTGCACCCCGAGTTCTTCAGAACTCTGCAGAGAAGTGGATCTGGGAGGCAAGACTGAGCCCCTTAGGAAGAAGCAGAAAGCTGGGATGGGGCTCGACTTTCCAGAACCTTACTTTCTCCATGTGTAAAGGGGATCGTGCTTTGTCTTGTCTCCTTTGGAAAAACATTTCAAAGACTACATGAGCTGACAGACGTGAGAATGTGGCAGGTTCTAAAGCAAGCCTCCCAAACCTGAAATAAGGGGCAAAAATGAGGGAGCTGGATAGCAAAGAATGGTGGGAACATGGAGAATGGAGAACCAAATTAGATTAGATCAGAAAAAAAAAATCCTGGAGATTCAAATAAATCATATTTATGGGCCAAATTTAGCCTATGGGCCAACAATCAAAAAGTGTTGTTCAAAAGCAAGGTAGTTGACATAAATTTCCATGCCACGGTGTTCTATTACAAGATAGCAATGTTCCAGCCAATGCCCTGTAAAGTACTTTGTGTCTGAGTGTGTGCGTAGTACTGTAAGAAGGTGGGGCTGGGTCAGCCTGGTTAGATTCAAACCCTGTCTCTGGTACTTGGACACATAATTTTAGTTTCTACTCTCATCTTTTTTCCTTTCATGTATAAAATGATTCATGTGAATAATAATTGCACCTACTATGTTGGAATCCTGTGGAGATTAAATGAGATAATCCATGAAAAGTGGTTAGCCCAAGAACTGCTCATAACTTGTTCAGTTTCAATCTGTATCCTGTACCTGATCCCATCCCTAAGCAACCTGGTCACCGATCTCTTCCCAGCATGCACAGGATTCCTGATGCCTGCCTGTACACACACCCCATCTCGAAGTCCTTTCTGAAGAATCGCAGAGACTGCTCTTTTGTGTGAACTTATCCCGTGTGAGTTTCTGATGCTTGACAGGATCTGACACCCCATACATCTGACTACCCAAATGCACTTGGGATAGAGTACAGTCAGTATGCAATTTCTAGAAGATTCATTTCTAGTTTGTGCACTGTTAATACGGAGTATTGAAGTACAAGTTCCTAGACTGGAGAGACTATTTATCTGTTTATTTTGCTCTGAATTACATCCTAAGCACAATTGGACACTTAATAAATCAATGTCTCAATGAAGATGGTGGTGGTGGTGTCAGTCAAGGATAATAATTGGGAATGTAAGAGGAAAACATTGCTTGCTTTGAATGGGAAACCTTGGGTTCTGGGGAAAAGAAAGCTGTCTACCCAGTGTGTTTATTTTAAGAGCGCAGTGTGTTGAGTTTGCAAGCACAAGGCAAAGGCTGGATGAAATGAGTGGTGTATTATTTTACTGCCGAGTCCTTCCAAATATTTCTGGGAACTCTGATGGGTCAGGACAAAAGGCCTGTCTTTTACAACAACGTGTGGCTTTAAAAGGCTTCCTAATGGGAGCATGATGAAACAATCCCAAGAAACTAATGGATCTTTGGGTGATTAAAGGATCTTATAATAAAATAAGTTACCAGCCCTTCACCATGTTGTTACAGAGTACAGTACACCCACTTGGCAGTCAGCAAACCTGACAGCAGCGCAGAAAGTGGGTGGGTGGGTGGGCCTTTCTGGAGCTGGTCTCCAAGATCCAGGGAGGCCCGCTTCAGCCTTGCTGGGCCATTTTCTCGTCATCCTTGATCCTTCCCCACACCCCCACCCCTTCACTGATTATTCTATCTATGATTTCAGTGCACTTTCTACAAATGAAATGAGTGTTGTATTACGTGACTGCCAAACCAACTGTATTCTGCTGTCATACTGTATTGGGAGTCTTTGTGCAAACAAAGACTCTCTGGACTGAGGACAGACTGGTGTGGGTGGTGACTTATCTTTCTATGCATAGGACCTAGTAGTAGTAGGTTCTCACTCTGTTTGCTGAATGAATTAAATAATTTATGGGAAATACACAAAACTTTCTGTCTCTCTCTCCTCTTTCTCTCTCTGGTCATATGGAGATCCCAGAGAGTTTTCATACCTTGTCTGAGCCCTTCAGGACAGTGGCCCCCGCAGGGACTAGATCCCTCCCATCTTCAAAGGCCACGTGTTTGGCCGGAGTTGTTGAGTTGTGGTTTTTCCCCTCTTGCTTATCCTCATGGTTTGTTCTTCTTTACTCATTCATCGACTCATTCCTACATTATTTATTGAATAGCTATTAGGAGCTAGGTACAAAATAAAACAAATAAAAGAACCCTGCTAGCTTTCATTTTTAGCAGGGGAAGAGGACCAATAAATAATAAGCATAATCAATAAAGTAAGTCAGAAGGAAGTAAATGCTATGTAAAAAAGAAATAAGAGAGCCAGAGGGAGGAGTGGAGCTGAGAAGGAGGACAGGCTGCCGGTTGCAGCAGGACGCTGAATGAGAATGAGAAAGTGAGGATTTGAGCAAAGACGGAAGGAGGCTGTGGACCTGGTCTTGCAGGTACGTGGGGGAGTGTGTTCCAGGTGGAATGAAGAACTCAAGCCAAGGCTCCAAGGCAACAGGAGTGTTTGAAGATCAGCAGGAGGCAGTGGAGCCCGAGGGGTGGTGTGGGCTTGCCTGAGGACAGAGAGGAGAGCTGGAGATGCAGAGAGCTGAGTGATAGGGGCCATATCAAGTAAGGCCCAGTGAACCCTGCGGTGGAGGTGGCAGGAAGAGACAGATGCTCCATCAGTTTTAAAGTGAGAGCCAGCGGGGTTACGGATGGAGTGGACAGGGAGTCTCTGACAGCAGAAGCGATTGAAGGGTCACCACAGGTTTCTCATCTCCCCAGATGGAAAGATGGAGTTGGGATCTGCGAAGATGAAGCAGGTTGGAACTGGAGCCGGATTCCGCATTTCCCAGCCAGCTCCACTGATTCCATTCCTGGATTCAGGAAGAGTCGGGAGATGGAGGCGCCCCCATCCCAGTGAGACCCCAGACCCCTACTTTTGTGAGCCTTCAATCTTTTCAACAATTCAGGACTGCCTTTCAGATTCATCACTTCTTCACGATTTCTACCTTGATTAATTTTACCTGGCTTGGGTCTCCCCGCTCATTCCGTATTCATACATAGCTATGCTTTACTTCACACAATAGATGAGTTTTTGAAAAGAGAGGTGTAAGTCACCTTTTAAAAAAATATTAAAGCCTATTTTATATTCACCAGGGGAGCTAACTATTTCAAGTACCCTATTATTAATGCTTTTGTAAGGTGAAGAATCCTTTGGTTAGATGACTGCGGATCTCCACTAATTTATCCGTTTTTGAAAGATCAGGTTATCGTGCATAAAACTGAGCACTCACTTACATAATGTGCATCTGTACACGAGGTCCTCATTTCATTGGAGTGGTCCACTGGGACCACAGGCTCAGTGCGCCCTCAACCTGAGCTCATTTTCCTCCGGAATCCTCTTTCTCCTCTACTCCCTGTTCACCCAGGCTGCAATCTCAAGATTCATCCCTGGATATCTGTCCCCATCATTCTTTCCCTAGCTTCTCATTTTTTTTTTTTTTGCCTTGACTGTAGCTCACAATCTAGACACCTGAGCACAGTGTCTGTAGTCCTGTCTGTGACCAGTACGTGTGCCTCAAGTACCCCAAAGATCATCGATGGTCAGGCAGGTGGGGGCCCCACCTTCATCTGCCCTGTGGGCTCCTCATGCCACCTCATTCTGTTCCAGTTCTTTCCATCTGCCAAAGCCCAGCCCAACCACTTTTTGAATCCTTCTCTTTCGATGGCACTTTATGCAGATCATTTTTGTGTCACGCGCTCCTGCTCTGGTGGATGGTGCCTCCCCCCCATCACACCTTGCTCGCCCGCTCATATGCATCCTGCCCCCTGGGTCCTGTCTCGTTCCGTGTCTTTTCCCCGGATAGTTATGTGTAGTGAGTGCTTAGTAATAATGAATCAGATGATTGTGTGGCTGTTCTTTTTCATTTTTATATTTTATTGATGACACATGCTGTGTTAACTGTAAGCTGGGTCAAGTCTGTGACTTTGTTTTTTTCCCCTTCACCTCTCTTGCTTCCCATCCATACAGTCCCTGCAGATGGTGTGTCCTGTGCTAATGCTCCCTTCTCCCTTAGCCCTGGGTGTTCAAGATTGCGGGGATCCCCCCCCCACCCCCGGTGGTGGATAAAGAGCCAATTGGGAATTCATCCCAAGCACTTTGGCCTCAGGTTTGTTTATTTATTCATTCATTTATTTATATCCCGTGTGGTGGATGTGAATTTCAGGCCACCACAGTAGGGTGCAAGAAATGTCACATTTCTTTAGTTCTCTAAATCAAATTTAAACGATGCCCAGCTTCTACCTGCTGAGCTGGCAGGAAATTCAATCTGTCTTTTGAGAGCCCCTGCTTCTCCACCCGAGGATTCAGCCTCAGTGTTCTCATCCCTTCGGAGGCCCTGGGGAAGAGCTCCTTAGTTACAGGTCTGGTCTCTTCTAGCCCTTGTGGTCTACAGTCCCCTCTGCTTCCAGATCCATGTTGAGAGGGCTCCAGAGCTCAGGCTGGGGACAGCAGATGCCTGCTGAGATTCCCCTGGAGTCCCAGAGCCCTGTGAGAAGAGAGCCAGTCTCCACTCCCCAGGGTGACTCCAAAAACTAGAGCCCTTCCCAGCCCCAGGGAGCACTCTCTAAACCCTCCTCCCCTCGAGCAGCTCTACCACCCCGTGAGCACCCAGTGAGGCTGGCTTCTTAGTACCCAAGTTGGTAACCACTTCTGAGGCAGGGACAATCTAGATGAGAAAGAGTCATGTCTCTTGTTCCTTTCCGCCTCTTTTAATACCACCTCCCTAAACAAACAAACTTACAAACAAAAACCCCCAATCTGATTTTTCTGTTATGCAAACTCAAGAAAATGATTTATACTGAGGACACTTGTCATAAATACACAATAACACAGCAACAGAAATAAAGAATTTGAACCAAGGAAAATATAAGTGTAGATAATCACAACCGAGAAGGAAAGAACGCCCAAATTCTGTTAACTATAGTTGTTAGAGTTAAGCTTCACATTTGGCTCTAAGCTTTCTGGCAGCCAAAGTGAAAAGGGAAATGTGATTTCAAAACTCTCCTAGATGCTCTCTGAAAGGGAGAAGCCATTTCTTAAGCGAAGCAAAGCTTTCCCCCTTCCTTGGTTCTAAAATAAATTTCTCATGTGAGGCTTCATCAAGTAGATAAGAAGCAAAAATTCTTCTACCAGGTTGTTGGAGTATGGTCTGCAGATCTCTGCATCTTGTAGTTTTTACCTCTTGATACGCACTTAGCAGGGTAGTGTGCCTGTGGGCCAGCACATAGAAGCATTAGCCACAGATGTTGGCCCCTGCTTTTGTTGTGCTTTAGCTCCTAGATGTGGGCAGATGTTGCTGGTAGCACTGCGGCACCAGAGCCTAAGCAGAACCAGCACAGGGCACACCTCTGGGAAGATCATTACCTAAGTCAGAGAAGGGCATGGCTGGACTGGGCAAGTGGGTTTCAAACCTGACGCCACCTCTGCCTGTGGAAGGCCTTGGCCATCCCTCCTCCTGCTGAAATCCACTGAGCACAGGCACTGGGACTCCATGTCCACCCCCGAATCACCAATGCCAAGCACAGAGCCTGCCATTTATCAGCTGCTAAATCCATCAGTGTTCACTAACATGCTTGTTTTCTCCTTTATGTCAGTTCATATCTGTAACACGATCTTTTAAGCTCCCCTCCTATGTTTTAGGAATAATCTGGAGCTAAATGAGAAATGAGTTCTTCAAAGGTGCACTCTTTCCCTTTGCAGGTGACAGGACTAGGAAAATAGGCCCGAGGCTCCATCAGTGACCTAGGGGACATCTGAAGAAGAGCAGAAGGTGCTCTCAGTGAGGACAGTGAGCCCTGGTTGTCTGCGAGATGGAAAGCATGAGGTTGTGTGTTCTTGCAGGGGGCTGCGTGAGCCAGGAGCCCTGATGCCAGTCCTGCAGCAAGACTTCACTGTCCCGAGAACTTGGGCAGGTCATTTAGTTTCCTCATTGGTAATAGGAGGACAATGTCAGCTATTTGAATGGTTCTTGTTTGAAATAAAAAGGCTCCCTGCAAACAGAATTGCGTAAGGAATTGTGGCTTATTCCTAGTGTAGTAGTGAGGGGTAAGCTTTCCAGACAGGGAGACTGCAGGACAAGGACTTAGTGATCAGAAGGAATAAAATATATTAAAAAGTCAGTGATTGAAACATGCCCCCACACCCGCCAAAAAAAAAAAAAAAAAAAAACAACTATAAAAACAGTGAGAACACTGGGAAAAAAAAGTCAAAATTAACATTCAGAACTTTGGAATTAATCAGACTTTGAACAATCTGAGGAGCATTTGTTCAAGAAAAATGGCTGACTCTTAGTAAGAACCATGAGCTCTGTGGCATGTTAATTTGCCCTTTGGCCGTTCACCTCTCTCCAACACTGCAGTACTCTTAAAGACCACGCAAAACTCACAACCACAGTAGCTGTGATTGTTATAAATTGAGGTGTTAATTGTAATCGACAGGTAAACTACTAAGAAAATAAGAAGCAACAACAGAAGAATAAAAATGGGGTAATAGAAAACACCCATTTGACATAAAGTACGGTAGACATGGAGAGATGGTGGAATAAAGATGTAAGACATAGACAAAAGAGGAAATGGCAGAAATAATTCCTCCTTGATACTGATTGTACTAAGTGTAAATGATCTGCATATTCCAACAAGAAAGCAGAGACTGGCAAAATGGAGTTTGGAAAAATAAGATCTAACATTATGCTGTCTATAAGAGACACTTGAGATTCATATAGGTTGGAATAAGAGAATGGTTAAAAGGATAGCAGGCACAGAGTCACCAAAAGAGAAGTAGACTAAGAGTAATCAAAATAAACTTTAAGACAAAATTGTTACTGGAGACAAAGAAGAATATTTTATGATGATCAATGGGTCATTATCATGGCCCCCGGGGAAGGAATCACAAATGTGAACATATGTGCACATGACAGAAGAACCCCCAAAATACAAGAAGCAAAAACTGACCATCAAAGAGAAAAGCAGACAATTCAATAATAATAATAAAGACTTTAGCACCCCACTTTCAATAATGGGTGGAACAACTAGACAAGATGAATGAGAGGTAGAAGACTCGAGTGACACTTTAACTAGGCCTAACAGACATCCATAGAATTGTCCATCCAACAAGAGCAGCGTACCCGGTCTTCTCAAGGGTAAAGGGAACATTCGCTAGGAGAGGCCATATGTTGGGCCGTAACACAACCTTAAACTTAAAAGGATTGGAATCATGCAAAATAATTTCTCCAACCACCATGGAGTTAAACTGGAAATTGATAATAGAAGGATATTGGACAATTCACAAATATGTGGAAATTTAACCACACTCCTAAATAACCCAATGGGTAAAAGAAGAAATCAAAGGGAATTTAGAAAATACTTTGAGGTGAATGAAAATGAGAACACAATATGCTGAAACTTCTGACATGCAGCTGAAGCGTTGCTTAAAAAGAAATGTCTGTCCCTACCTGCCTCCATTTAACAGGAAGATCTGAAACTAATAACCTAAATTATTACCTTAAGAGATTAGAAAATGAACACATTAAACCCAAAACAATAGAGGAAATTAATAAAAATATGAGAAGAAATATATCAAATAGAGAATTAAATAAATACTAAAGAAAGATCAAAATGTTGGTGCCTGGAATGTCCACCGGATATTTAGGAGGACTAATTTGGTAAAGCTGGTAAGAACAGCTCTGGTACTGGGCTGCCTTCTACTTTGAATTGTGAGACACAAACTTTCTCCTGGAAGAATGACAAAATGAGATGACCATTTGGTCGCAGTGATCCAGATGTTTTATAAGTAGCTTAAGAATAAAATCAGTAAGGTGAAACAAGAGGCCCCCATCATAATCCAGCAAACCAGGGAGACAAGCCTGGGGTAGCGTAGTGGCAGCAGATGGTCAATTTCAGAATAAAAGGGATTAGGGAGGAGGGAAAGAAGGATGGCTGTTTGGATCTTTAAGAAAGAAAAACTGAGTTTGGTCCCAGCTCCATAATGTATTGCCCTTTGGTCTCAGCAATTTCTCTGAGTTCACCGTTCCCTCACCTATGGAATGAAACCAGCACTGTTTGCCTGGCCTGCATCACAAGAGCTTTGTATGATTAAATGGAATAATGTGTATAAAATAGACAGCTGCAAGCTCTCAAACTCTTGACAATGTGAGTTTGTTTGCTACCACCATAATGAATTCAGCTTCTGACCAGGCTGCTCAGTAGTGAACTTCCAAGTGGAAATGTTGAGTGGGCAGGTGGAAACGTGGGCAGGTTTTCTGGAGAGAAATTAGTGCCAGAACTAGCTTTGGGGCATCACCTGCCTGTCTCAGGGAGAGGAGAGGAGAGGAGAGTGGGATGGGGGTAATGTGGGCAAGAACTCATCATGGAGAATCGAAATAGTTAGGGGTAGAGGTAACCAGACTGGAAGGAATCCAGAGCTCAGGTTTTAGAGTTGCAGGATGCCAACACCCTGAGATGTGAAAGAGAGAGACAGGGGTCTCAGGATGAGTAGGCATCTGTGTACTGTACATAGGAGTCTTAGAAAACAAAGGAAGCAAAAAGAGCATTATCATAAGTGAACTGGGCGCGGTGGTGCATGCCTGTAATCCCAGAGGCTTGGAAGGCTGAGACAAGAGGATAGTGAGTTCAAAGCCAGCCTCAGCAGCGGCCATGCGCTAAGCAACTCAGTGAGACTCTGTCTCTAAATAAAATACAAAATAGGGCTGGGGATGTGGCTCAGTGGTTGAGTGCCCCTGAGTTCAATCCCTGGCACTCCTCCCTCTGGGGGTGGCACCAGGGTAGAGTTGGCCCAAATGACAAGATGAGTGGCTCAAATGACAAGAGAACTGGGGCAATTCAGAGTCTTGGTTTTGTGGTTCTTTGTTTTGAAATGGAAACTCATGGATCTCTTAGTAAAGTGCCAGGCCATGTGGGAGTCACTAAGGAGGACAGGTGACTCCACCTTGTCCCTGCTTCTGGTACTTAGGTGCTGCCATGCCCCACATGGTAGGTAGGGGGGAGCCCCTCTCCAGGAAGCAAGGAGGGAAATGCCTGACATGTTAGATACCCCAAAGCTTCAAAGCTCAACTGGTTTTGTTTCCCAAGCTCAGTGATGGAGACGTAGCCCACTCAAGCCAGCAGACTTATTTGGAGACCTGATCCCTCTATTGCCATCTGCCCCCCCTCACCTGGGGTACCAGCTGGAGTGTGACCCATCTATTTCCAGGCCCCACGATGCTCACTGATCACACGAAGGGCACTAAACGGGCTGGGTGTGATTCCAGATCCTTCCCAGCTCAGGACTGTGCTTTGAGAGCTGACTGACTCAGTGGTCCCCTGCACTTAGGGAACGGGGTGCAGTTTCCCAGCTCCCGCTTCTGCTGAGTCCAGGTGTTTCTCTAGCATCCAGCAAAGTGAAGCCAGAGGTAGAGCTTCCTGGATCCCGAGGGCAAGACCTGTCTTCTGTTTTTCATGGTGACCTGTGGGAAGTTGACCCTGATTGCTCAGCAGTGCTGCAGAGTTGCGCTGAGGAGGGGCTTCCTCGTTGGGAGAGAGGGCGCTATGTGCGCGTGTGTTGGGGAGTGGTATTCTCCATAGCCTCCATGGCAGAAAGATCACAGAATTCAATTGTAGACCTCTGGGCTGCTGCAGTCATTTCCCAGCCCCCAGGGTCCTTCTTAATGCACTTGACCTCTGCAGTGAAAGCAGCAAGAGTTGAGCCCAGCTATCCTGAACTGCCTGCTTCATCTGTTTCTTGAAGCCTGGAAATGGAGTTGGTTGTGGTTCAGTGGCATTCGGGAGCTCCAGGCTGTGGTTCTTGTAACCACTCTTATTTTCCCTACCCAACCCTTAGTCTTCCTTGTTCCCAACCTTGGGCTAGCGATGTCAGCGGATGGAGGTGCCTTGAGTGAGTTCTCAAGCAGCCGTCACCACCAGGTCCCCAGGGACCATGGGCACAGAGGACTTTCGAAGAAAAATCCTTCTTCTGCAGGTTGGGACTTTGACCCTGAGCCCCTGATTGGTCCCCTACCTCAGAGTTGACCTCATCGCCACAGACATCCAGGACGCCTACTGTACCCTTGAGAGCTACCCTAGGCTAGTCACCTCATGCCCCACCATAGTTCCTGGCCTCCAGAAGGACAAAGATGCCTCTCTCCGATGGAAGTAAGGTCCCCTGCAGATTATTGTGGCAGCCACACTGTGTTCCAGAGGAGCAGCAAGAAGGAGCAGGGCACAGCTCAGCAAAACTGGAGACAGTTCAGAACAGGAAGAGAGAGGACATTCAGCCCCAGGATCATGTGCCCCACCTGTGCTCTTGCTCCTCCTTAGGGGTGTGGAGGGCAGGTGGGTGCCTGTACCCAGAGCCACATTGCATCCCTGGAGTCTAAGGGTGGCTGCTGTTCTCAAGGCTTAGGTAGGGCACCTTTTCTCCATGTGACCTTGTTTGAATGGGTCCTGGTGTCGTTTCTTCAGCAAGCTGAGTTTAGTGGCTGAGTGTCCTCAACTTGGTGAGCCAAGTAGGGGGAGGACCCAGTGGCATTGGGAGGCAAGAGGGAGCCTAAGCAAAGAATTTGCAGGGTAGGACAAAGGTGAACTGGACCATATGTATGATTGAATGCAGAGCCTCAATGTAATTCGTTACTGGTTCTGTGATGCTAGAATCATATCTTTCTCTGGCAAACACTTTTTTTTTAAGGTTCTAGGGATATCAGAATGGGGAAGCTGTAAGCACTGCCCTTAAACTGCTCATAGTCTTGAAGTCTCAAGTAATTCATTTGATGTGCAAAGTACTATCATAGGGATGATGTACTGTGACTACACACCACAGAGGAGGACTCACTCTTCCTGAAGGACAGTGGAAGTTTTATGAGTTAGGATAGAGGAGAAGCTTCTCTAACAAAGATGCCAAAGATTAGAGTGGTTGAGCCAAGAGGCAAGGAGCTTCTTCTCCTTCTAGGGTGGCCCAGGTGGTAGCACTCTGTTACCCAAGGCCATATATGGACAGCCAGGGGATAGTTGCT